TCATTCAACTCTCCCTGGGACTTCATCCACTGCAGGGTGGAGTGATCTGAAAAGATCTTGAAGTGCCTGCCCAGGAGAAAGTGCTTCCAATGTTTCAGGGCACAGACAAGAGCATAAAGCTCTTTCTCGTAGGTAGAGTCCTGGAGCTTTTGAGTCTTGATCTTCTTACTCATAAACTCTACAGGCCGTAGACCATTCCCATCATCCTGCTGAAGTACTGCCCCAATGCCATATTGACTGGCGTCCGTGGTCAGGATGAATGGCAAAGTGGGGTCAGGTAACTTCAGAACAGGCGCACGAGTCAAGGCCTTCTTGAGTCGTGAGAAGGCCAGCTGACAGTGGAGGGACCAAAGAAAGGGAGTGTCCTTCTTGTTACGTTAGTCAGGGGTGCAACCACTGCAAAAAAGTTCCTGACAAACTTTCTGCAGTAGGAGGCCAAACCCATGAAGGACCGGACATCCCTCACCGTCTGAGGCTGAGGCCACTCCTGAGTAGCAGCAATCTTGGCTGCTTCAGGAGCCAGGCCATCTCCAGAGATTACATGACCCAGATAGATGACAGAGGGAACTCCAAAAGAGGACTTCTCTCTGTTGATCTTATACTGGTTGTCACGTAACGACTGAAGAACTAGAGCCAAGTGCTCCGCATGTTCCCTGGCAGTTTTGCTGAATACCAGGATGTCATCCAGGTAGACAACCATAAACTTGTCCAGGTAAGGCCTGAAGATGTGGTGCATCTCTGTCTGGAATGTGCCTGGGGCATTGCAAAGTCCAAATGGCATGACCAAAAACTCGTAAGTCCCATACTCGGTCTTGAAGGCTGTCTTGTAGACATCCTCCTCCGCCATCTCAATCTGGTGATAGCCAGACTGGAGGTCGACTTTGCTGAATACTGTGCAGCCCTGCACCATATCCAGGAGGTCATCGATCCTAGGAAGTGGCTCAGTACTCTTCCTAGTGATCTTATTGAGACCCCTGTAGTCAATGCACATTCTAAACTCACCGTTCCCTTTGGGCACAAAGAGAACAGGTGCACCGAATTCAAATATGCTGGGTCTGATCCAGCCTTTGCTGGTCAGGGTCTCAAGTTGCTTTCTGAGCTCCTCAAGCTAAGCAGGGGACATCCTGTAGATGCGGCCCTTAGGAGGGACCGCTCCAGGCAGCAGCTCGATGTGATGCTTGGTTGGCCGGTTGGGAAGTCCAAAGGGTTCCTGCATCAGATCAGCATACTGATCTACCACCTGCTGTATCTCAGGAGGACAGGAAACAGGGGGAGCATCTGTTTGCTTGACCAAAGCAATGAGCAGACGCTCACGATGGTACTGGCGCGAGAGAGCATGGAACTCCCTCGCTCTCAAGCAGTAGCAGGAGGTCTTAGGGTGGTGATCAACAGCAATCATGCATCGCTGATACACCCCCTGGCTGTCTGGTAGCTCAACTCTAGGAATCTGCCAGTCGATCCGAGGGTTGACTGCCCTCAACCAGTGCATGGAGAACACCAAGTCAAAGGGAAGCTCAAGGAACATATAAAAGTTCAGACTGTGTCTGACTTTTCCTGTAGTATCGAAGGTCACAGGGATACCCTTGACCTTCTCCCTGATGTTGATCACTGTAGAGTCACCAATCCACACTTGCAGCGGCTGCTGCAGCTGCTGAACTTTCGTACCCAGATGTTGTTTTTTAACTGCACTGGGAGATATGAAGTTCCGGGTGGCTCCACAGTCCTAAAGCCCAGTGATCCTGGTGCGGTTGATCAGTGGCCGAAGCATGATGAGTTCAGACAGACCCTTCTTCTTCTGCTCTTTCAAGTGGAAGAAGAAGGCAGCAATGGACTGAAGCTCATCCTGCCCCGGGTCCTGATCCGGGTCAGGATCCTCATAGCAGAAGGATGCTGCCCGCGCAGTCCCCAAACACACATCATCACCAACAGTCTCAACTGAAACAGCTGCAGATTCACCTATCTGAATAGATGAAGATGCAGCACTGGAGGGAACTGCAGTCCCCAGGGTCTGTTTCAGTTTTTTGACTGACCCGGGCCTGGCATGTAAGGGCAGTCCTTTAAGAAGTGTTGTCCCTCGCATCTCAGGCAGACCCCCTTCTCCTTTCTTCTTCTCCAGACTCCCTCCTGGATCTTGAGGTCATGCCAGGGGAGCGAGGAGGGATTGAGAGGGTCAGCTGGCATGCAGACGTCTCTAGGCAGATTAGGGCGCTGGGAAGAGGAAGGACGACGTCCCTTATCCTTCCCCTTAGTAGAGGCTGAGGCAGTGGAGGGGGAATACTTTTTCTGCGCTTGCAGAGCTCCCAACACAGCCTGAGTCACTACTGCTGCAACATCTGTCTCAGCAGCAGATCCGGTCCCACCTGAAGGCACATCAGGCTGTGAATCGGTATCTGATCCTGAGGCAGATCCCACATGAGTAAGGGTTGCCTTTCCCCTTCTGTTGCCTCTAGGGAAGGCACCCTTCCTCCTGTCAGAGGTTGGGGCCTGCACATGGAGCTTAGCCTCCATTTCCAAGGCTGCACGACCAAAGGACCTCCAGTCCTTATACCCAGCGCTGTAATGTGCAACAACAAACTTCTCAGGCGCTGCCATGCAAAAACTGGTCAGCATATCATCAGGTGCCATGACCAGTCCAGGGGTGGAGGTGAGCTGCTCGAGCTCAGCAAACAAGGCCTGTAGGGTGCCGCTGTACCGCTGCTGTCCCAAGCGAGCAATCCTGTCAGCAGCCTTGCGGGCACGCTCCTTGTCTGCAAACCGGTCCTCCAGGGCCTGCAGAAGTCTATCTACCCCCAACCCAAAGGCCCAGTCCTCCATGGACTGTTGCAGGCTGCTATAAGTTGAGGTGGCCCACTTTAGTGCGGGCCCTTCTAGCAGTCCCAGAACAGTTGCCACCTTGGTCTGTTCTGCACAGACAAAGCCCCTCAAGTAGGCTCTGGTCCCAGCAGCCCAGTCCCCAACATCAGTCTTGGGGTCATCGCCCCTGAACTTGTTGGGAACAGAGATTTTGGGACCTCTGTCTGCTGCAGTCACAGCAGCATAGGTGGCCTTTGCTGAGGCCTTTTGGGAAGGAGTAGATGACCGGGAAGAGTGTACAGATCCCCCATGGGATGTAGGAGATGAAGGAGGTGGTGAAGGAGGAGGAGAGGTTTTGGGTTTCAGCAGAGGGAGCTGAGGAGTAATCAGCTTGGCGGCTGCCAGCTGAGCAGACAAGCCCTGGATAGAGTCCAGGATCTTGGACTGCTGAGCTGACAGCTCGTCAACCCGACGCTTCATCCGCACAAAACGATCATCCCAGTTTGTAAACTGGGAGCTGGTGATCTTGTGCTCCAACAGGATCATCTCAGCCATGTGCTTGGTGACCTGGGAGCACCGATCATCAGCGAGAGACTTGTCTAGCTGCTGCAACAGATACTCTCTCCTGGAGTGATCTGTTGCAGCCTCTAACTCAGCAGCCTCCTGCCGTGCCAATTCAGCTACTCTGGCCTGTTGCAGCTTTAGTTGTTCTTCTGGCCCCTTCTTCAGCTGCTGAGTAGCAGTCAGAGGTGGAGGGGGAGTAGTGGAGGAAGAAGGCTGTTCACCTTCTGCCTTCACCACAACCTCTACATATGGCTGCTGCTCATTCCCCTAATCCGACATTTTCCCAGTTCAAAGAAAACTCAAAAATAAAATAGCAGCAGAAAGAATTGCAGCGATAAACGGATTCCTGCAGATCCCCTGGAATCGCTGCAGCACTCAACACTGGAGTAGGTGGGTGAATAGGCAATCAACGGTTTGGGGTTAGAAGGGTGTCTCTGGGGTCAGGCGTCAGATAGACTGTAAGTCCAGCAAAATCAACCACACGATTTCCTTTTACTGACCCTGGACCACACTGGAAGTAACATAGTCACTCCACTAGTCTTCCAGAGACCCACTAGAAGTTCCAGTGTCCACTATAAAACAAGAGTAGTCAGTGGGAATGATAGAAATGGTTAGTACAGACACAGAGAGATCAAATACAACAAGCGATGCAGACAGATACCCTGTAACCTGACTCAGACTCAATTTCAGACCCTGATGACTCTGGCAGCTATACCCTAGGGTATGGCGAATCACAGTTTTCACTGTATCCAGTGAAATACTAGAAATCCAACTCTGCGATTTGACAGTACTGACTGCTTTCAATTTGCGATTTACTGGGGACTGACAGAACTGAATTCTGACGGACAGAGTTAGAGTTATGACTGACCCTAGATAGCACAGGCCAAAAATAGACTCAGCGCAAAACTATAATTCACAGTATCACTACTTTTTCAGTGCAGAATTCACTGTTTGAGCATCCCAGGACAATTGCAATACAGTATAGCAGCCACAGGACAATTTTGGACCAGAAAGAGTCAACAGAGGAGGAGATATGAGCAGAGAGAGGTAGGGGAGAGATGGCTATGGCTGTCATGCAGTCTGTGATTTTCACATCCAGTCACTGGCAGACAGATAGACCGTTACCTTTCACTAATCTACTACTATCTGGATCGCAATACAGGGTGGTGCATGGAACGGACTCACTTTCTGCGAATCTTGCAGGAGATGATGAAGATCTGGCTATGGCTGATGATACCCTGATCTCGCCAATTTCCTCCAGAGCTTCTCCCAGACAATCCCACACACAGAACCTCCTCAAACTTGTTGATCCTCTTCAGGATCCTGTGGCGCTGCACCCCTTCACTCCAGATACCCTGTATCTGGTCCTGTGGCACCCAATTCGCCAACACCAAAATATCTCGCCACAGTATCAGGTAGCCGCTGATACTAAAAATAGCCCCAGATGGGGTTATTTTTCCTGAAGATTGATACAGGATGTCAATCTCATCCAGTGCCACCCAGGGATGCTGCCGCTCAGGGTTCCCTGATGTCCTCAGGGGTAATTCGCCACTCTGGGGTATCTCTATCACCCTCAGGGTTGGCTATGGCGAATTAGCCCTGTACTCCCACTTCTTGCCAAGCACTCTGACAGGCTCAGTGTGCTTGTTCAGTACAGCCTCTGAACACTTGAATTCACCGCTGAAAATCTTCTTCCCTGCTGACTCAGTACTGGGGAAGATGAATCGCCATGAAACTCTCGCCATTATATCGCCAGGATGAAGAAGATGCCTCAGTGCGCTCAACCCTCAGTGCTTCAATTCCAATCTCGCTCTGATAGCAACTGTTATGAACTTGGTTGTCTGACAAATTTTCTCGCCACTCAAACACAGACAGTCTCATACATGCCCATACATGCACAAGAGATGGGGAGAGAGGAGACAGAGTCCACACTGCACACAGGAGGAGAAAAACAGCGGAAGACAATTATGCACAGCAGGGGAGAAGACACAGTGTTTCTCACTCTCTGACACAACTCCCAACAACCAATCACAAGAAAGAACCTACGAAGGTCACAATTGAAACTGTCACTGATGATGAGCCACTCACACACACTATTATCGTAACAGAGTTTGTTCCAATATCTCGCCACACCCAAACTCACACCCCACTCCCTATCCTACACCCGGTTAGTAGCGCTATGTCAGAACAGCCTCCCAGAGGCCAGCGCCAACCACCCTGATGAAGAACAGGTCCTGCGATGAAGTCTTCAGTGCCGCTGGACAACTCTGACGAAGGAACAGGCAGCTATGGCTGCCACCACCCACGAACCACTCAGTGTAGAGCCTCGAAGTAGCCCGGCCAGACGCAGATACCCCAGGGGTAGATGCGCTGAGGATGCCCCAGCTATGGCAGACTCAGAGAGGGCCGGCTATGGCTGCTGTTGCGGTCTGTCTCAGGATGCCGCCTGTAGACCGGTACCGCCACCAACTTCCTTGGCTTCTCCAACGCTGCTCGCGAGAAATGAACTGCCAAAAGTCCTGAACCAACGGGCCTAACCTATCTATAGACTCCCTAGACCTAGACCGGACTGACTGACCGACCGGTACCGTTGCTGTTTTGGCCTCTCGGCCTCTACCGGACCCGGCTATAGGCTATAGGACCGTCTAGCAGCATAGGCCGCTTAGGGCCTGTCTGTCCTAGGGGTAGCCCGGGCCTGCTATCAGCAGTTAGGGTAGCTGTAGGAATTCAGGTTAGTACTAGGTCTATATTTTCCCAGATTTACAGATCTGTCCCTCAAGAATTTCCCTACAGGCAGGTCTCTCGGTTAGCCCTCAGCCAAACAAAATTACGAATCTAACCTACCGGGTTAGTGTACAGCCTCGCTGTTAATCTCGGCAGCAAAATCAGCAAGTCATTGCATAAGACAAAAAATATGGTGGTGTATCTGCCCATGTTCTAGCAGAAGATTCATTCTCATGTTGCACATTTGGTGAGTAGTGGAGCGAGGCCCATCCATGCGGAACAATGTGAATCATGAACTACGGTCTTCACCCGAATAGACCCGATCATTATAGATGTATTTGGCACAACTTCAGGTCCAGATGCAGCGATAATGACTGGGCGTTGGGCGTTCTGTTTGGGTGACGACAGTAGATAGTTAACAATTGAGGGAGGTAGGTTCTCACGTGTACCTTGCTAGCATGGCACTCAGGCTGACATGGCAGCTTGGAGCACCCAATTGACCCGGTTGACGTTCCAATCATTGCCAGCCCGGAGCCCCCAATTCACCCGGTCAATGTTCCAATTGTGGCCAGCTTGGAGGACCCAATTGACCCATTGGAGCACCCAATTCTTCCCGTCAACGTTCTAATTGTGGCCAACCTGGAGGACGCAATGGACCCATTGGAGCACCCAATTGACCCGGTCAATGTTCGAATTGTTGCCAGCTTGGAGCACCCAATACACCCGGTCAACGTTCCAATTGTGGCCAGCTTGGGGAACTAAATGGCCCCATTGGAGCACCCAAGTCATCCAGTCAATGTTCTAATTGTGGCCAGCCCGGAGGGTGCAATTGACCCATAGGAACACCCAATTGACCCAGCCAGCGGTCCAATTGTGGCCAGCTTGGAGGACGCAATTGACCCATTGGAGCACCCAATTGACCCGGTCAATGTTTGAATTGTTGCCAGCTTGGAGCACCCAATACACTGGTCAAAGTCCCAATTGTGGCCAGCTTGGGGGACCCATCGGAGCACCCAATTCATGCAGTCAACGTTCTAATCGTGGCCATCCTGGAGGGTGCAATTGACCGATCGGAGCACCCAATTGACCCGGTCAACGGTCCAATTGCGCCCAGCCTGGAGGACGCAATTGACCCATTGGAGCACCCAATTGACCTATTGGAGCACCCAATTGACCCACTGGAGCACCCAATTGACCCGGTCAATGTTCGAATTGTTGCCAGCTTGGAGCACCCGATACACTGGTCAAAGTTTTTTTTTTTTCTTTTTTCTTTTTTACACTGGTCGAAGTTCCAATTGTGGCCAGCTTGGGGGACCCAATTGACCCATTGGAGCACGCAATTGACCCGGTCAACGTTCCAATCATTGCCAGCCTGGAGCACCCAATTCACCCGGTCAATGTTCCAATTGTGGCCAGCTTGGAGGACCCAATTGACCCATTAAAGCACCCAATTCATCCCGTCAATGTTCTAATTATGGCCATCCTGGAGGACGCAATTGACCCATTGGAGCACCCAACTGATCCGGTCAATGTTCGAATTGTTGCCAGCTTGGAGCACCCAATAGACTGGTCAACATTCCAATTGTGTCCAGCTTGGGGGACTCAATTGACCCATTGGAGCCCCCAATGTTCTAATTGGGGCCCAGCCTGGAGGACGCATTGACCCATCGGAGCACCCACTTCACCCAGTCAACGTCCCAATTTTGGGACGTTGACTGGGTGAATTGGGTGCTCCGATGGGTCCATGCGTCCCAATTTTGGCCAGCTTGGAGGACCCAGTCGTCAACGTTCCAATTGTTGCCAGCTCCGAGTTCCATACTACCAGTGCTGTGATTGACCAGACTCCAAACAGTTTCATCATCCACCCATAAGTTAGTATGATCTCCACTCTATGAATTGGTGGCAAGTTTGGTTAAAATGATCCTTGGGGTTTGTTATAAATGGCCTGACAAGTGGTCTGAAAATTGAGGCCTCCGATAACCGTCTCTCCATCCGCCATTCATGCAAAGTTGCAAACCTGATTGAAAACAAATCACTTCACAACAAACTTGCATTGGCGAACCACGCCAGCACACCTTTTTTTTTTTTTTTTTTTTTTTTTTTAAACACACACCTTTGTTTCCTTTTTTTTTAAATGTTACTTTTGCAATAGTCAAAGCCGGGAATCGGGCCCGACGTCCCTTGCAAAAAGGAAGGAAGGTGACACATCCCTGAACAGGGCATCATCGGCCGAGGTCAGACGGCCCACCCAGTGTGTCGTGACCAGCAATCGGTGGCTACAATGCAAATGCGAAATGCAAGCAACCAGGCCAGGTGTCATGCATGTACTGTTCTCCTATTATGCACGTTCTCCCCCAGACGCACTGCATCACCCCAGTGTTCTCATCACTTCCACATTCCGATTGCCACTACAAAACTACCAAACTGCAGAAGTACAGAACTACCTCCACTGAACCACAGAAGCACCGTACCTATCCTCAAGTTATCGACAAGAAGCAGCAAGCAAACAGCTGTACAAACAGCAAACAGAAAACAAGAGAGCAATCGACGAAAGAAAAAGGCCTAACATACAGAAAGTACAACTGTTACAGAAGGTTTAAAAAAAAAAACAAGGAAAAAGCGGAGAACCCAAACACGAATCGTCTTGCTGGCGAGGAGAAGAAGTTATACCCACTTGGGCTCCTGGCTGCCTTGAGCAGGCTGCAAAAGACGGCACTGAAAATAGCACAATATTGAGCCGCCAGATCGACGTCAGTCTGGCTATGGCTGCACCCAGATCAGAGCTCTCCTTCAAGGCGCTCGTGCAAGAGCAGGAGGAGGTTGTGGGTTCGAGCCCAATGAACGCCTGCGGCGCACTTAGTGCCAACCCACTGTGATTGTCCGCTTGATACCCCTGATCGGTATTACTGTAGTAGGGTCTATTATGCCTGCTCTTATCAGCACCTCTAGCAGCCGATCGGGTTGTTTCTCAAAAAAA